GTGTAGAATTAGAGAAACTCCTTTGAAGTCATCTCAGCAGGTATTTCAATGCTGTCTGTGTAGCAATAAGTCTCAATACAATTATTTTGTGTGGTTGTTAGTTTGTTGTGTAACATCTCACACAGCAATACTCCAGCTATGGTAGTGGTCTGTAAAAAAACCCAGCCTGGACCAGACAACCCAGTGATCAAGAGCATGAGCATCGATCTATGCAATTGGGATACGATGACATGTGTCAACCAAGTCAGCGAGCCTGACCACCCGATCCCGTCAATCACCTCAGCATGGGTTGCTGAAAAACAATTCTAACCAGGATCTTGCTGGATACGATACAATTATTACCATCACTACTCTCCCCCAAGGTCGTTACATTGTTTGTAAAGAAGCATATAAAGATTTTAATGATTATTTGAACTAAGGAAATGGCCTTGAATGTAAAGGTTTCTGTGACCTGGGATATTAACACAGTTTGAAATGAAGCCGAGTCTGTTTATCATATTTGTATGAATATAATTTCCCTGATGTATTTGGTTTAATTTACTCTGAATTTATATTGAATTGCTTGATAATTATGTATTAAATTTTAAACTAGGACAGAAATATGAACAGAGGATCAGATATAAAATTTGCTTTCCCAAATATGATTGAATTTAAACAGAACTAGTATTTTAGTCATGCATCATGTTGTAATTATGGTTCCTATTTCTGAATTCTTTTTAAAGGATAATCTGATATACTCAGCTCAGTGTTAAATAATGTTCCGTTTTATTTATTAGAACACTTTCCCAGTAAAGTCCTGACTAAACTAAAACTAAACTGACGTGACTAACTTTAAAAATTGAAGTTTCGAAATGTGCTATTTGGGGAACTTAAAACATAGCATAATGTTGTAAAACTGATGAAATAATTCAAACAATAAGAATATGGGGAACTAAATGTGAATCTCTTTCGACAAATGCAAGTGAGCTAACTAACTTAATGTGATACTTAAGTCTATTATGTACACTTACCCATCCAGCGCTATTGCAGCTTAGTTTCTGTTTTGTACTATCTACACTTTTGCAGCAAGTTATGGAACTTCGATGAACTATTAAATTGTATCTAACACTCTATATCTACGTCCTTCTTGAACAAGCTAATGGTACGAATCATGACAAGCTATCACCTAACTCAAGTAACACCTGAACTCAAGCTACACCTAAACTCAACTGGCATCTAAACTTAAGTCCGACCGATTGTGGTCTGACCACACGGGAATTAGTCATGCTCCTCGGTTTTCGGTGAAGCATAGTGCGTTTATGCCGTCTGTTCGACCAGTATGTCTCCAAACCAAGTACTTTTGTCAGGTTTATCCCATCTGGGATTCATAACCTCAATCTCAGAGTCGGGAATCAAAGCCAGCAATCTAACCCACTAAGCCACCATGCATGATGGCTTCCACAAAATTGGAGGTTGGATTCCTGGTAGTCTAGATCACTTACTTTGTGTACCTATCTGACAAGGGTAAATTGGTATGGCTCCCATGGCTCAAAGCCATGAATACAAAATGCCATTTAGAAAGTTGTCAAATGTAATATATGTTACTTTCAGTTACTTTCTCAGTAATGCCAGATGGGACTCAACGTACCAAAATTACAAAAATAACTGTACCTAACTTGGAAAATGTCATCCCAGATATAACATGTGTTACATATGGCCACTTTATAAAATGGTGTTGTGTATTCATTGAAGAATGTTCTGTTACACATGCAGTGCCATTTCAGATGAGCCAAACCACCATTGTCTTTCAAATTTTGAAAAGTCATGATTACTTAGATGTTTACTGATATCAAACATAAACAATATTGAATTATATTATGAATTAAATCTATAAAATAGTTTACAAACATAAGTACAAAATGTACAACGTTTTATAGTGAGTGAGTGAGTGAGTATAGGTTTATGCTGCTTTTAGCAGTATTCCAGCAATATCACAGCTGGGTACACCAGAAATGGGCTTCACACATTGTACCCATGAGGGGAATCGAACCTGGGTCTTCGGTCTGACAAGCGAACACTTTAACCACTAGGCTACCCCACCTCCTGTTTTGGGTTTGAGGAACTGTCTTTGCTTTAGGAACAATAATCAAACTCATTTTATCGCTCACCTGTTGATGATATCACTGTTTAATAAATCTACAATGTTATTACACATTGTGTAATAACATCTCGTGATGTCGGACATATTACGTCATAATGGTTTACAATGCTAATACCTCTGTCACAATGGTGTTAGACCTTGCTTGACTCATGGAAAGCTGAGTAGGCAGTTTCAATCAATTTATGTTGGAGAGTAATACACAGAATACTCGTGAAAGATTTAGTATCGAACTTGCTTTCACTTGTTTCATACCAAATCATTACTTCGTTTAATAAAAATGGTATTGCACGGAAGGTCGTTTAATATCCTGCGTATTACATGCACACCAACCTTTACTGCTGTTTGTCTTTTTGAAACAATAACACAAAGAAATGTATCTTTTCATATAGGGGGACAAAGATTTAAATTCCTACTGAGCTCAGTAATGTGTCTTTTCTTATCTCAAGATGGAGTTGATGAGGAGGTAAAAACAAGTATTGCTTGTCAATTTTGTTCTTGTATCTTGTCAAAAGATGTTTGACGATACCATCAGTAGTTTTTCCGTTCTCAAAAGCATGACAAGCCTTTTAGCATTCATTTCTTGGCATGGAAAAATGTTCAAATTCATGGAAACTTCGATTTCAACATCCTTTCTGAAACTAATTACTCAGATTTACAAATGTCTAGATGAACACACCATGCTAATGGAGGTGCATCAGCTTGTGTACCTGTAGTTGTCCAGAAAATGGTTTCCATAGTAACATGGTCATGGTTGGAGAAGGTTTCACTGTAGAGTTCAAAGCTATGTTCACGTTCTAACTGTAGCAGCACAACCCACACACATCCTTATCCTAGCCAGATCTTTTCACCCTGACAGTATATGTCAAAAAGATGAAATTATGCCAGACTTTGACAGCAGACAAAAGAAATGCAATTCACTGTGTCATATCTGACATTGGGGAGATAGTGTATATTAGGAAATTACTGTGGAACAGTCCATAGCTCTTTATGGCAAAATCAAAATGGTTTATAGGGAGAACTACGTAGATGTGGTTACCGATGCTACATGAGACAGGTGAGAGTTACACCTGTTCACCCACCCTCCCTCAGGTGCAATACGGGGCAGTGGGTAGCCTAGTGGTTAAAGTGTGTGCTCGTCATGCCGAAGACCCGAGTTCAATACCCCACATGGGTACAATGTGTGAAACCCATTTCTGGTGTCCCCCGCCATGATATTGCTGGAATATTGCTAAAAGCGGCGTAAAACTAAACTCACTCACTCACTCAGGTGCAATACAGATGTAGAACATCTTCTTTGAGTGGCATTTAGAAACTGGTATGATGAACAGGGACAATTTTTAATGGATAGACACCTTCTTTATTGCCATGGATGTGATGTTTCAGTGTTGTCTATAATGCTACCTTTATCATACAAGTGTCTATCCATAAAATATCGTTCCTGTTCAGGTGTAGAAGAGATGACCCTTTGTGCATTTGTGTTTCCTTATAAATCTTTAAATAAAAATTGATCAAAAGTATCCTTGTTCTTTTCCCAAAATCAGAGTTTATGTATGCTCTTTGGGTCAAAGATGGTACATAGAGTTCAAATGTTTCAGTAAAGAGACAAGTCGATCTTTAGATTTGATTTAAAAACAGCTAAATCTGGTTGTGTTCTGAGATGACTAAATTGGTCCAGCCTGAAAGACTGACTGACTGAGTTTGGTTTTACGCTGCTTTTAGCAATATTCTGGCAATATCACGGCGGGGGACACCAGAAATGGGCTTCACTCATTGTACCCATGTGGGGATTCGAACCCGGGTTTTCGGCGTGACGAGCCAACGCTTTAACCACTAGACTACCCCACTGCCCCTTGGTCCAGCCTGACCAATAAATGTCATATTAAGTCTGCTGCTGGATCAGTTCTGTGGGGTAGTGCTTAACCAGGACCCACAAAACTGGGGACCTTTGGAACCCCCAAAATATGTTTCAAGGGTTCTGGGAGGAACATGAGGGTTCCTGAGAGAAATAGACCCCATAAAGCTAGAATATTGCTGAATGCAGCATTAAACAACAAACAAGCAAGCACAATTTTTAGAAATGATTTGGTGCATAATGAACCAATTAGATTTGATAATTAATTCAGTAACAGGACATATATATTTCTTGTCGATAATTTAGTTCAGTGAATATTACTGTGCATCTTCAGAATGCAATATGTCTCTTATTGCATCAATCCTTCACATTTGAGCATACTGGATGCGCATTTCTGCATCATGTAAAACCCTTCTTGGTAAATTTTCTCTTGTACCGGGTTAGAATAGTGATCTTCAGTAACCCATGCTTGTCGTAAGAGGCGACTAACGGGATCAGGTGGTCAGGCTCGTTGGCTTGGTTGACACATGCGCCAATTGCGCAGATCAATCCTCATGCTGTTGATCACTGGATTGTCTGTTCCAGACTTGATTATTTACAGACCGCCACCATATAGCTGGAATATTGCTGAGTGCAGCGTAAAACTAAACTCACTCACTCAAAACTTGTGAAAGAAGCAAGTTTGGATCAATGAATTAATTAATGTCGTTCTTTACATAAAACTTGCCCTGTGATGTTATTGAATCAGTAAAAGGCTCCATAGCTGAAGCAGACATGATGACCTCTTGTACACCGAGATGTATTTTGGAAAGCATCCATAACTGCTGAATTCATGAATGTCGGTGTCTGTGATCTCTGACAGGACCCTGTTGGTATTCATTGCACAGGCATGTCTCAGTCGTTCAGTTGATTAGGCACATTCCGTGGTCATTTCTGTGAATATGGCAGGTCGAACAGCGGATTATGTTTGTGTGAGTGTGTTCTGTATATTATTGCTTGACTTTTCAGACCTTTTCCCTGTCCAACATGCAAAAGAGTGGGAGGGCCGCGCTGGCGAGGAGTCGGAGTATCGACCACCAGATTGATGAGGAGAGGGAGCGGAGGCAGAAGGAGGTGCAGCTTCTCATCCTGGGTAAGTTGGGGGTAGGGGAGGCAGAGCTTCTTATCCTGAATTAGTTGGGGTAAGAGTGAGAGCCTGGCTAGTTGAGGGAGCTTCCCATCCTGGGTGGGTGGAGGGGAATGTGAGCTACTCATCCAGGGTGGGTGGAGGGGAATGTGAGCTACTCATCCTGGTGGGTGGAGGGGAATGTGAGCTACTCATCCTGGGTGGGTGGAGGGGAATGAGAGCTTCTCATCCTGGGTGGGTGGAGGGGAATGAGAGCTTCTCATCCTGGGTGGGTGGAGGGGAATGTGAGCTACTCATCCAGGGTGGGTGGAGAGGAATGTGAGCTACTCATCCAGGGTGGGTGGAGGGAATGTGAGCTACTCATCCTGGGTGGGTGGAGGGGAATGTGAGCTTCTCATCCAGGGTGGGTGGAGGGGAATGTGAGCTTCTCATCCTTGGTGGGTGGAGGGGAATGTGAGCTCACCATCGACAAGTTGAGGATGGGGGAGCTTCTCGACAGTCGGTGGTGGACCAGAGTCAGTACTTCTTATCCTGAATGAGTTGTCTGAGGGTGACTGTAGGACTGCGCAATAGGGATTAGGAAGTGTTGGGGTGTTGAGAGTGAAGGGGAAGTAGGAGAAAGTTTTCATGAGGATCTTCTCATTCTGGGTGAGTTTAAGGAGATAAGGGAGGTTGAGTTGATTGAGAAAGGAATGGGGAAGGTTGAGTTGTGTGGGAAGAGAAAGAGGGAGGTTGAGTTGTGTGGGAAGAGAAAGAGGGAGGTTGAGTTCAGTGGGAAGAGAAAGAGGGAGGTTGAGTTGTGTGGGAAGAGAAAGAGGGAGGTTGAGTTTTGTGGGAATAGAAAGGGAGGTTGAGTTGTGTGGGAAGAGAAAGAGGGAGGTTGAGTTGTGTGGGAAGAGAAAGGGAGGTTGACTTGTGTGGGAAGAGAAAGAGGGAGGTTGAGTTCAGTGGGAAGAGTGAGTGAGTGAGTTTAGTATTACCCCGCACTCAGCAATGTTCCAGCTATATGGCGGCGGTCTGTAAATAATCGAGTCTGGACCAGATAATCCAGTGATCAACAGCATGAGCATCCATCTGCGCAATTGGGAACCGATGACATGTGTCAACCAAGTAAGCGAGCCTGACCACCCGATCCCGTTAGTCACCTCTTACGACAAGCACAGTCACCTTTTGTGGCAAGCATGGGTTGCTGAAGACCAATTCAGTGACTGATAGAATTAACAAAATCCACATAGTTGCAACATAATGGCAGATATTCCTTGATTTGGCAAATCCTTTCAAAAAGATGTGCTGAACTGGAATCCTGAAGTAAAGAGGCAGCTCCGATGAGGTTCTAAATGTCAGGTTCAGGATGTCCACCATTGTCCAACAGGTCTTTGTTTCGGTGCAGGTGGGGCAGGGTCAGGGAAGAGCACGTTCATCAAGCAGCTTCGACTCCACTACGGCGACGGCTTCCCGGAGAGTGACAGAGGTCAGTTCGTGTCTAGCATCCTCCAGAACTGCTGCAACGCCCTCAACGTCATCCTTGACATGATGAATGAGATGAACGTGGTCTTTGAGAAAGAGGACACCAAGGTAAGGCAGATGATACAGACAGGGGAGATATGTTACCATTGCAAATTATCAACATTGTACATTATGGAATTCACATATGACTCCATTGGAGGACAAGGCTGAGGTGAAAATGTCAAACCATGTTTGTTTTGGTATAAGACAAAATGTTATGGATGTCAACTTTATTGTATACACAACGTTTCTGGGCTATTCCTTGCCCCTTCGTCAGGTGAATGTTTATATATATACTAGTAAATGTACATGAAGCCAGAGTGATTTTAAGCATGTATATACAATAAATAGGGGATTATAAGAGGATTATAAGAAGAAAGAGACCAAAATATACAAAAGCAGATATGGTGTTGTTACAGAGGATTAATCTTATCTTACCATATCTGCTTTTGTATATTTTAGTCTCTTCTTATAATCCCCTTAAAATCACTCTGGCTTCATGTACATTGCTAGTAAATATATCCTGTATATCTGTTATTTAGCATTCACCTGACGAGGGGGCAAGGAATAGCCCAGAAACGTTGTGTATGCAATAAAGAAGACTGACTGACTGACTGAGTTTGGTTTTACGCCGCTTTTAGCAATATTCCAGCAACATCACGGCGGGGGACACCAGAAATGGGCTTCACACATTGTACCCATGTGGGGATTCGAACCCGGGTCTTCGGCGTGACGAGCCAACGCTTTAACCACTAGGCTACCCCACAGCCCCCAATAAAGAAGAAGTTGACATCCATAATATTTTGTCTTATACTTGAATACCTACTTCTATATGCCTCTCAAGAACCTCTTGTTTGTTTTGTTTCATGTATTTGCTCAATAATCTGTCCCTAAATGATTCAGGTGCAAAGGTCTTCAAATTGTACTGTAAATTCATTCAAATTTATACATGATTTAAACGATATAAACAACAAACAAAACAAATCTGTTTCACAGAACACTGATTTCTGAAAGTACAATCTTTCAGCTTAGAAAGAGAGAGTGAGTGAGTATGGTTTTCATCGCTTTTAGCAATATTCCAGCAATATCATGGCGGGGGACACTAGAAATGGGCTTCACACATTGTATGCATGTGGAGAATTGAACTGGGGCTTTCGGCGTGTTGAGCGAATGCTTTAAGTACTACACCACCCCATAAAATTATTGTTCTTTGGGTGAAATGAGGTTTGGCTATTGTTCTTTGGGGATCCCGTTAAATGGACTGGCAAGCACATGGGTTGCTGAAGACTTTCTAGGACTGTTCTTTAAGGGATAAAGGACTGTAAGCTTTAGAACAGCATACAATGGTTTTGTCCATACCTGTATCAAAACGGAATAAATACCAATGTAAATTAAAATATTATAATCATGATTTCATATATGTTTATTCAAAACATGGCTGCAGGTGTAAATTGTGACATCTGCCAAGAATTCATTAAAAATTTATTGATTATTTAAAAAGGCAGAATTCTGCAATCCATAGAAAGTTGTATTCTGATGATTATAATTATTTTACAAAGTGTATAAGTAGAAAAAGAGAAAGGAAGTGACGTAAGAAAAGAATTTGGATAATGTGGCCATGCTAAAGGGAAAGCGGGGACATTATAAATAGGCATATTCTGCAATTCTTCTGCAAAAAGTACTGAGATTTCAGCATATTCTCCCATATAAGCCTTTACAAAAAAAGAGGTGGTATTCCACCATTTGGCCACACTAAGGGGATGATTGGTGACATGAGAAGTAGACATTCTGCAATTCTTCTGCAAACTGTGTTCAGATTTCTGCATTTTTTCCATGAAACCTTTCAGGGAATATTGAGTAAACATTCCACCATTTGCCAGGACTAAAGGGTAGGAGGATGACCTGAACTGTTCTCAACATCCATTGAGAGGGGGGGTAAACTAATTCGCTTAATCTACACCTGAAAGGGTTTATTGAAAATGAAACGAGGCTTGGCCTCTTTGGATACTTACTATTGAACCTTCAGTATTATGGCATGCTTCTGAAGTGTGCAGCACTAAAATGCCAAGTATTTGGCAGGCCTGTATATTTTGAAATTATATATATATATTCACATGAGTGTATTCATGAGAACACTTGCCTTCAGGTAAGCTAGAACATACACCCCATTAACAAAACGCAATACAGATTGAGGAGAGAGTTGTAATTTCCTGCAAAGTATGAGGTATGGAGCTGGCTGCAGCCTTCACACCCAAGAAGCTCCCCGCAGTGAATATCTCTCATTAGGCTTCCTCCTTGATACCTCCTTCAGATGAAGCAGTAGGTGGGGCAAGGACATGTCTTATATGCTCCAAGACACATTCTACACACATGAAATCCTTTCTGGAAATGTGTTGCACATGGGCTCAAGGGTATACGAGGAGCTGGTGCCGGTACTTGAGTTGTCATCACTGGTTCAAGTTTAGCACTCAGACTTATGGTAATCAGGTAGCACAGATAGGCACCAGGTTGTTCTGACAAATGTTTGTTTGACCTTATTGGCGAACCTCGATGACCTCCACTAAATGTTTATAATAAGTGGTGTCACAGGTGTCTTTCTTACTGTGCCGGCAGGACACAAGGTAGACAAATAGAACTATTGCCAGATTTGATTTAAGAAATACAGTTCGCTCTACCACTGTGTGACGTAAATGGTTCGATTACGAGGGGGCACACTAGAATGGCGCAGTGACGGGATAACGTCATTCAATTGTTCCATCATCAAAAAACTATACCTTTATTGTCTGATAATGTATTTTTCGATTGTTCTAACCGCTAGGCATCTTAGAATTTGGAATAATTTCAATGACATATATTTTGAAACATTGATTTAAGAACAGTCAAAACAAAAATGGAGAAGTAACATATAAGCATAAAACATTACAGGGAATCCCGTGTACAATTCCGACTATGTCATGAGCACTCTCAAAGAACGATGACACCAGGTGTCCAGATCCATTATCATGCTTTACCAATAAGTTAGATCAGTAGAGAGAGAAATGAGAATATGTTTGTGAAGCTCATTTTCTTACCTGGTGGGAAGTTGTGTGTGTTGGTTAATTGTTGAGATTTAAAAAAGGAAATGGAATCTATTAATAGTGCAGGATGTATAAGATTTTCAACTGTAATGAAAATGTTTTAAGCTTTTTTTTGTAGTGAAGACTCACAACACAATGTTTAAGAAGATTATCACTAAAAATATTTATGATCCCTTTTTTTTGTTCTGTATATTAACTTCTCAGAAAACTGTTCAATCATAATGATGTTTGCTGTAACCAGGGGCCACAAAGAATGTATCTGCTGATTATTAATTACAAAGTAATGTGTTACTATACTATGATACAATATTAATTTTTATGGTTGTATTTATTTTTAAATTTACCAACCACAAAGCAGGCAGACATAAATTAGATTCCCATTTTTATTTCCTGTGCTGCTTTTGGGTCCAGTTAGTTGAAATTTGATAACAGTAAAATACGAAATGTGTCATGAAGAATGACTGCTGACTGACTGAGTTTGGTTTACGCCGCTTTTAGCAATATTCCAGCAACATCACGGCGGGGGACACCAGAAATGGGCTTCACACATTGTACCCATGTGGGGATTCGAACCCGGGTCTTCGGCGTGACGAGCCAACGCTTTAACCATTAGACTACCCAACCGCCCTCATGAAGAATGAAGCAGCATAAAAAATCAATGCTCTTTTTCTTTTTTATTTTCTATGTAGCTTTTAGCACCAGTTAATCAAAATTAGTAAACATAAAAAAAATGTGTCATGAAGAATCAAGGACCATAAGAAAATTACTACTAATTTTTTTTAACAAAATTTCTGTGCAGCTAATAGCACCAGTTAATCAAAATTTGTAAAAAGTAAAATAAAAATGTGTCACCAAGAAACCTGGCGAAGGAAGCCTGTGTTGGTGGGGAGACTTGAGGTTGCTAGAGGGCTTCATTGCAATTCCTCTGTTGACTTGCTGGCTATCACAGTATGGTGAGCCAACATCAAGGCTAATGGCGCAGTCTCAGGGAAGTCATCTGAGGCCATTAGGAACAGGTTGTTTATTGTAGGGTGCCCTCCTGAGGAGAATTAGGGATGCCTAAAGATGCCTATAAGAAACATGGTGGTGTCAAGGAACGGCAGTAAAAATACATGATTTGGGAAATGGTGATGTAAAAATGTTTCTATACTGTTCCTATGGTGACATTAGCTGGGATACACAGGTCACAAATGTTGATTGATTTGGCTATCAGTACAACTATGAATAATAATTTATTGATAATAATTATCGATTTCTGAAATTATGTTTTGTTTTTACAATGTCAAGGGTAAATGAACATAAAAGTTACGAATGCACTTGGAGCTCATGAATGTTCTTGAACAACTACACTACCAGATATGTTGTAATTTAAAGGGCCATAACTCTTGTCAGACTACATGACTTGAGGCTTGGTCTGCTGCTCACAATGTATTTTATGTTTTGCAATAAATCATCTTTTCAACACAAGTAATTTCAGTTATATTACATGTAAGGTTTTCTATTTTTCTATTTATATCAGTAGTGCATAAATATTTGACAAATATCAGAAAACTCATTGTAATGATGTTTCTATTTTCTGTGTTGGTGAATCCATAGATCTCCCAAAACAATTAATTGCCTAAACATCATTGGTTGGTGAGAGTAGGTGATTGCTGACCATAATGTCCACTTGCCTTCTGAGTGTTTCTAGGGCTTCGGTCCTGCCCCACATAGAAACACATTAAATGTGGTGCTTCCTTCAACAAGTGACTTTGTTCAGAACATACCTCTCTTCACTCAGCGACCGCCTCCGTGGTGTAGTGGATAGAGCGTCCGCCCGGAGAGCAGAAGGTCTTGGGTTCGATCCCCGACCGTGTCATACCAAAAGACGTTAAAATATGGTACTTGTTGGTCCCTGCCTGGCGCTTGGCATCCAGTTTCACCTTACCTCACCTCTTCACTCGGCAATGAATGAACACTCTGTGATATGAGATGGTGATGTGGCTTCCTTCCTCGTTTATCACAGGCATCTGGCATTGTATAACCAGCTTAAGTCTGGGGAGTTACAGAACAAAAATTGCATGCATGTCGACACTGGCCGATATTCTCACTGATCCATTCTTCGGCATGATGTATTGATGATGATTGCGGTGATGTGGCTGATTTTATGAGCACATTATCACCCTCAGAGACATGGAGCATTATCATTGTGCATTTCCGACTCGGGTGACACTGCTGGAATTATAAGTTTCGGCGTGACATCAGACTGTATTACCCTCGAGAGAAGCATACAACGTATTATCTTTCTGCCGTGTGAAATGTACAAAATATCATTTTTTTTGTTTTCAAGATCGATAAGCTTGCTTCTGACTATGTATGACATGTAAACAAAATGGTATTTTCCTCTCGACTGGATTTTTAAAATCAGTGAAACACATTCTGACAAGCTTGAAACTGCTATACAAATAGTTAACTATGTTTAAGTTGAGTGTGCAAACAGTTCAATGTGTCAAATAGTTTAAATAAAGCAGAGAAAGTCAGTAAAATTAATGTGTCCATAGTGAACTAAAAAACGGTTTTCGAACTCCGTGCACTGCATGTGTCACATTAGGATGTCATACAATTGTTAGCGATAAAGTGTCTCCGCAGAGAGGTTAGTGGTTACCATGACAGCAGGTAATATTTTTTGGAGTTTGTGACATGGAAACTTGAAATTAAAGTATTTTAATTGAAGGTAAGATAATGAAGTCTATAAGAAAACCTACTGCTTTTATTCCATGAGCCATGTTTGGAGGTAGTGGGTAAATATTGTTGAATACTGCAATCAGCAATACTTTAGTTACTGTAAAACCATCTCCCGGATAGTTTACACATACACAAAGGATCCTTTACGTGTCAACAGTGTTTTTATATCTGGACAAGCATTTATCTAGATTCACTAAGACCCTGATACTCAGGCTCAAGTCTGAAGTAATCAGTAAAACATTCCCAAGAAACAGGAAAAGTTATGTTTTATAGTACAGTAGAACACGGATATAGCGAACACGGATATAGCGTACAAACGGATATAACGAACAAATTTAAAAGTCCCGTCAACAGTCCTTTATAATATCATTAAAATTATACGCGAATAACGAACTCGTGAGTAGCGAATTAACGGCTATAGCGAACTGATTTACTACCCCCAAGCCCAACTAACGACGTGATTAGTGAACTCACTCAGTGTCAGCTCAGTGTCTGTGATGCAGTCGACAAAATGAAGTCTGCAAGACGTGGTGTGCAGAGCAAAATTGTGGACTTTGTTAAACGTAATTAAGTTATATACATGTATTGTTGAGATTGTTGTGATTGTTAAACATGTTCTAGCTAATGTCTGTGAATGATAAATTCAGAACTTTAATGTTATGTCAATGTACATGTACAAGAATAAATATTTGTAGCCTCAGCATATACGTGTCTCTACATCTCTACAATCCAAGATGGCGGTCAAATGTGAATAACGAACACCGGATATAGCGAACTAAATTTCGTGGTCCCTTGGAGTTCGTTATATCCGTGTTCTACCGTATTAACAAAAACTAATATTTTTTGAGGATCATAAACAGGAAGACTCTTAACATTTAAGTTTTACATTAAATGCAATGTTAGAATATCCCAGCAGGGCTCCAGATAAGGGCCGTATCGGCGTATGTACGGATAAAAAATATGCACGATAGGAAATAATTTAGAAAACGTAGCAGATACGCACCACTGCAATGGTGTACGGTCTTAGAATCATTTACAGACGTGTTTATCTGAAAAAGTACTGTTTTATTGTTTATTGACCTGTTTACACAAGACTAGCAATGTTGTGGTGCGTATATGAAACGAAACACAAGGTTACTGATCCGCCATTAAATTCCATGCAGTACTCTGAATGTACTCTTATGTTTTTCCAGTACTCCTGCATTGAAAAAATAAGGAGTACGTACTCCTGATGTTGAAAAATTATCTGGAGCCCTGTCCCAGAATGTAAATAAAGGAGGAAATGTAAGAAAGTCCAAATTTCTACAAGTTTATGTTTTTCGCATTTTTGTCTGCCAAGGGCACCTAGTTTATAGAATTCTGGACAAATTCAGTGAAAATGGTAACATGTAAATAAACTTGCTTTATAAGCCTAAGCATAGTGGAATCTGGACTCTAGTGGTTGATATACTGAGCAACATGATGACATGCATCACAACCTAATCCAGCCCAGAAGTTCCTGACCCGTGAAGACCTGGGTTGGAATTGGTCTTCAGCAACCCATGCTTGTCGTAAGAGGCGACAAACAGGATTGGGTGGTCCAGCTTGCTGATGGTATCCCAATTGTGTAGATCAATGCTCATGATGTTGATCACTAGATTGTCTGGTCCAGACTTGATTATTTACAGACTGCCAACATAATGCTGGAATATTGTTGAGTGGTGTTAAACGACAAACAAGTCCAACAGGATGGTCTGTGAATAACTGGGTCTGACAAGTGGTTGATGACATGATCACAAGCCTATGTCACCATGGCAACACATATCTACCAACTGATCATCACCAGCCATCTCTAATTGGGTGTTTCTGGGAACATTATAACGTGTGTTTATTAAGGGTTTTACGGTTACCAGGGTGTTGATAAGGATTGGCACCATAATCTTTAAGGGATATGAAATATCGCCTTGGTCAAAATATTTATCAAACGGTACTTAACAGGTAAAACATGTTCATAAGGATCAACAAAATTACCAGAAGGGTTTCAAAGGATCACTAATATGGTCATAATATCTGTCAAGAGGTACTTAAGAGGTGACCGCCTCTCTAGTGTAGTGGTTAGAGCGTTTACACCCGGAGAGCGTCATATCAAAAGACGTTAAAATATGGTACTTGTTGTTCCCTGCCTGGCACTCGGCATTAATGGGTACAACAAGGACTTGTCGGCTCGGAGTCAGTATAATGTGTCTGTGTGGGGTATTCATGCTTAACTGCAGCATGGTATCTCAGTGGGCTAGCACTATAAAACCAGCTTCAGTCTGGGCTAGTACAAGCAGCCGCACATACACATACACACGCATGCACATCGTCATATGAGCGAAATATTCTCAAGCACGACGTAAAACCCAATTTCACCTCACCTCACCTTAAGGGGTAGCAACATGTACTCTTAAGGTTTCCTGATATTGTGTTTCAGAGAACCTCGGCTGATTTTCGGAAGAAATATCCACGGATATCCCTGCAGGTGATACTGAAGAAGTTTACCGAGGATCAGGAAGATGCAGCCAATGAGGAGTCAGCCACGCTCAGATCTCACATCGAGATCACAAAGAGGCTGTCCACGTTGAACATCCTGAACCCCGATAAGCCCGATGTCAGTCTCCTGCAGGCCGTGTGGAGTGATGGTGGTGTACAGTGCTGTTATGCTCAGCGGAAAAAGTTCTCCGACAGCCTCTCAAATGGGGAAGAATAGTATGAATTGTTTTGTCAGAGTTTGAAATAATACTTTTTTGTCAAGTCACAAACTTTGTATATTTTGTATAACTTTTCAAAAATATTTTTTATTGTTTTGTTTGTTTGATGTTTAACTGACTGACAGACTGAGTTTGGTTTTACGCCGCTTTTAGCAATATTCCAGCAACATCACGGCAGGGGACACCAGAAATGGGCTTCACACATTGTACCCATGTGGGGATTTGTTTGATGTTTAACACTGCACTCAGCAGTATTCCCACTATAT